CTTTAAAAAAGAAAAAAAGTCCCTCAGTCTGTCTTATCTACCCACTGTTATCTTTTCTAAGCAATATAAGCTGCCTATAGTGTTCTATATATAATGCTGCTCCTAACAAACAGCTTGAAAAGAAGGAAATAGTTTTAAAAAATATTTTTCGGTATGCTGTGTGAATGAAAACACAAAACAAACATACATAGGTGTTTTCATAAATTTTGGTGCAAAGTGGAAATACACGCTACGTGTGGCTAGTCACACAATATATCTAGCAATAATAAAAAACAATATTTCTTATCTTTTAGATATCTCTATTTAGCAGACCTTCGCAAGCTCCTCTCTCAATTTCAGTAACTGCAAACAGGGGCGCCCTGAGGCCGGGTGTCACCCTAGGCAGAGACCGGGTGACACCCCGCCTTGACGTCATTGCGTATGGGCGTGACGTCGCCACTCGCATGTGCGATGATAATTAGTGGTATTATAACAAAGTGGAAGCAACTGGGAACAACAGCAACTCAGCCACGAAGTGGTAGGCCACGTAAAATGACAGAGCGGGGTCAGCGCATGCTGAAGCGCACAGTGCGCAGAAGTCGCCAACTATCTGCAGAGTCAATAGCTACAGACCTCCAAACTTCGTGTGACCTTCAGATTGCCACAACAGTGCGTAGAGAGCTTCATGGAATGGGTTTCCATGGCCGAGCAGCTGCATCCAAGCCTTACATCACCAAGTGCAATGCAAAGCGTTGGATGCAGTGGTGTAAAGCACGCCGCCACTGGACTCTAGAGAAGTGGAGACGTGTCCTCTGGAGTGACGAATCACGCTTATCTATCTGGCAATCCGATGGACATGTCTGGGTTTGGAGGTTGCAAGGACAACGGTACTTGCCGGGCTGCATTGTGCCAAGTGTAAAGTTTGGTGGATGGGGGATTATGGTGTGGGGTTGTTTTTCAGGGGTTGGGCTTTGCCCCTTACTTCTAATGAAGGGAACTCTTAAGGCATCAGCATACCAAGACATTTTGGACAATTTCATGCTCCCCACTTTGTGGGAACAGTTTGGGGGATGGGCCCTTCCTGTTCCAACATGACTGCACACCAGTGCACAAAACAAGGTCCATAAAGACATGGATGAGCAAGTTTGGGGTGGAGGAACTTGACTGGCCTGCACAGAGTCCTGACCTCAACCCGATAGAACACCTTTGGGATGAATTAGAGAGGAGACTGCGAGCCCGGCCTTCTCCAACATCAGTACCTGACCTCACAAATGTGCTTCTGCAAGAATGGCCAAGCATTCCCATAGACACACTCCTAAACCTTGTGGATGCCTTCCCAGAGGAGTTGAACCTGTTATAGCTGCAAAGGGTGGGCCAACTCAATATTGAACCTTACAGACTAAGACTGGAATGCCATTAAAGTTCATGTGAGTGCAAAGGCAGGCGTCCCAAAACTGTTGGCATTATAGTGTATATATATATATATTATAAATATTGTATGAATAGGTATACATAGATTGGTTTGAATGAATTTTCTTGCACCCTAATGATGCTTGAAACAGGAGAGAAAAGTAACAGAGTGGCAGAGTAAAACCTGTCCTGTAGATTTTGTGGAATAATGTTGGTGTGTGCAGGTCTGCCAAGAGGGTGAGGTTATATCTGGTATTTTTTTTTTCTCTCCCCTTTTACATGAGTGTTGCAGGATACCCAACAAATATGCTTTAAGACATTTTTTTTTTCCAACAAAGATTTGCAAAATCTAGGGCACAACTATGGCCCAGAGGCAGACAGCATAGGGCCCAAGCAGCATCAGGGGCCCAACACTGTCTGCCTACATGATAATTTATACTGGTTGCAATTATAAATAAACTGAATGCATATACACCTTATAAGATTACAGTGAACAAAAATAGGAAACAGTATCCCTACAATGATGGCTTTGGGTAAGGAGAGTAGAAAACAAGGCCCTTCTAAGGCCCGATTCACACTGAGCGGATTGCCGTGCGATTTCTGCCACAATATCGCGCATTTTTGCCGCGAGATATCGCGAGAAGTCACATGCCAATGTTATTCAATGGAGCTGTTCTAATGTACAGCTCCATGTCGCCCGTCGCTGTCGGGTCAGCATGACCCTTTTTCCCGCGGATGTCGCAAAAGTTTTATATATTTGAATGCAGCCCGACGGTGAAGGTCACGCGATCGTCGCCCAAACAGTCGCACTATCCCGGCCGCGCGGATCCGCTTGTAAGGTATGTCGCTTAGTGTGAATGGGGCCTAATAGTCTTGCGATGTGACCACAATGTTACTCCTCTGCCCAGAACTGCTATGTGTGATTTTATGATGAACATACTGTTCTTTTATGTGTCACATGTGTGTCAAGGAATTGCAGCCTTCCAAATGTTATGACGATTAAAAAAACTAGTTTGGTTTGTTCTACAGGGTTGTTCTGTAACAAACTTTTCTTTGCCACTTGCAAATGCACATTAAGGAACTGCAGCATATTTTGGATTCTCGCTGGTGACCTGGAATAGAGAAAAATCTGCGGGATTTTTCAATTCACCATATGAGAATTTTGCATACAGGTATGATATTTAATAATACAGCTGTGACAGAGAATTATGCAAATGTTTATTTGCTAGTTTATTTGTAAACATGGATTTGATATTGATTTGAAGCAGATAATAAGACTACTTGAGTAGATGCTTTGTGATGTATCCTAATGATCAGTCTACCTAAAGAAGCTATTTTAGTTTTTGTTGGATGACAGAGGTTGAGCCCCATACTGGCTCCTTATGTCTCTTGACTTGACTGGCAAATTTCTACCCTTCGGTTCCCATGTCTCTCTACCTGCTATCATTTTATTTATGCATTACAGGTATTTATTTAGCGCTGACAATTTACGCAGCGATTTACATAGTTGCACATTCACATCAGCCTGCCCTCAAGGAACTTTCCATTTAAGGTCCCTATCTCACATACACACAGGGACGGCTGATTTAGACAGGAGCCAATTACCTTCCAGCATGTCTTTGGAGTGTAGAAGGAAACCCACACAAGCTCAGGGAGAACATACAGACTAGATAGTTTCCTGACTGGGATTTAAACTGGGGACCCCCAGTGTTGCAAGGCAGAAGATCTATTCACTAGGCCATTGAGCTTACCCTCAATATAGGTGGTTGTGGGGTTCTGCCGGCAAGGGGGCCTATTTAAATCTGTCTGCCCCCTTCCACAAAGGGGGCACCCAGATGCCACCTAACCCATGTGGATGAGTAAGGAGTAGTTGTAACCAATAGTAAATAAACACACCACACCGGTTTGAAAAGTCCTTTATTAACCTCCCTGGTGGTATGATTATTCAGAACGTTTTCTATTTAGTTTTTTAACTTTTTTAACTATTTTGCTGTTCTGCTCGGTACCTCTGAGGGACCGAGCAGAACAGCCGAGCCGAATGCCGCTCAGCGGCTATTCGGCTATTCACTCACTGCTGTTCGGCATCTATGAGAATAGGCCGAACAGCACTGAGTAGCCTGCCGGAGGTTCGGCTCAGCCGATCCAGATGTTAGATCGGCTGAGTTGAACTCCTTCTGCACTTCGGGCCGACCCGAAGCCATGCGAAGCAAGCCGATGTACCGCTGTTTTCAGCCGATATACGGCTGAAGTCAGCCGTACAAGCCTGAAGTGAATAGCCGAACAGTGTTCGGCTCACTTCACTTGGGGTCGGTTGTTCACTCGGCTGCCCTCGGCAGCTTAGTGAATAGACCCGTAAAAGTCAGATGCCGGCATCGGCCGGCTGCGTACAGAAGAGGACACCGCAGGCTCGCAGGAATAAGGTAAGTTACACTTTTCTGTGCATTCCCGAGTCTGGCTAGGGCTTGTGAAAGATGTGCAGTGTGTTTATTTATTAATAAAGGACTTTTAAAACCAGTGTGGTGTGTTTACTTACTGTCTTACTTTTTGATTTGGTGATTGGGACTCCACACTGTTTTTTTGTTGTTTTTTTTTTTCGATTTTCACATCATAATAAACTCTATCCAAATAGATACAAATTGATCCGAACTGAAAAAGAAAAATTTGAAATCAAATCAGAATTCCGAATACCAAACCAAATTGAATTTCGTATCCTAAATCCAAAAAAATTAAATTCGGATTGTTCTGAAATAAAAAATGTTCACATGTCTAGTGATTCTCAGTAAAACAGATTGCAATAAAAAAGAACTTGGTAAAGGGTATGTTCCTTCATTACTCCAAAACATAGAAAATGTTTTCCTTTGCATACACTTTAAGATCTCATTGAACTTTTCCAGCAAAAACCATCACTGACTGCTAGTGGATTCCCCAGGGGAATACAGTATATGCACAATACACTCCAGAAAGGGGAACTATACAGTTCCGATTACTGCAGAAAGAAAGAGAGGAGAAATTCTCGTAATGGGAACAATCCGTGTACCCATTGCACTCCTTACCGCTAATCCGTGATGATGGGTTGGGTGCATCAGTAGTCGACGCATGGCCACCGTCTGAATAGGATATAGGAAATTATGGACACCGGCACGCCAAGGTAGAAAAACACCTCTTTATTGACGTTTACATGCAACAAAAACTCTTATTGCAACGTTTCGGGGTCGCACAGGATCCCCTTCATCAGGCAGAACAAGTGCCTGATGCCTGATGAAGGTGATCCTGTGCGACCCCGAAACGCTGCAATAAGTGTTTTTGTTGCATGTAAACGTCAATAAAGAGACGTTTTTCTACCTTGGAGTGCCGGTGTCCATAATTCCCTATTCTCCTAATGGGGACACAGACAACTCAACAGAACATCAATCCAATACTAAAAAATGTTTGGTTGGAGCTCCATGTCAAGGGCAGGTAACCAAGCATTGGCTTGCAGAATATTATTTATGTTGCATATGTAAAATTTAACGACATAGTTATATATACAGTACGTTTAAACTTCACTGTTAAAAGCAAACATTTTGAAAAAACAAAATAAAACATAAATTGTGTTGGTTTTTTTTCACATTATGTCTAGTTACGTCGAAGATAAGATGGCAAAAAAAACACATAAGCAGTTACTATTCTTCACCTGTTTCCTCTTTGTTATCCTTTTCCTTTATATGAGGATCTCCAGACAAGTCTCCAGCATAAGTCAAGATCAGATCAAATATCCTTCATTTATAGAGCCGATACATTCTTCAAGGCAAAGAAGAAAGAACAATAGCCAGCTTCTTATTCTAGTCTGGACCTGGCCCTTTAGGGAAACCTTTCCTCTGGACACTTGCCAGTCTGCTTATAGAATTTCAGGATGCAACTTGACAGTAAACCGTGACTTGTTGGGTCAGGCAGATGCTGTGATTCTCCATCACTATGATGTTATGTACAGTCGGGACCTCCCTCAAGGACCAAGACCTCACCATCAACGCTGGGTATGGTTTAACATTGAGCCTCCAATCGTCGTTGAGAATCTCAATATTTTTGACAACCTTATAAATCTGACCATGACCTACAGAGAGGATTCGGATATTTTTCTTCCCTATGGGTTTCTGAAGCCTCTGAAGGAACCACACAGTTTTAAAATGCCTACCAAGTCCAGATTAGTTGCTTGGGTAGTTAGCAAATGGTACCCTGGTGCTCGGAGAAACAGCTACTATAAGGAGCTAAAGAAGCACATTCATATAGATGTTTATGGGAAGTATCACCAGAAATTGAGCTGGGATGATTTAGACAGCACCCTTGTCCAATACAAATTTTACCTTGCGTTTGAAAACTGTGAACATGAGGACTACATTACAGAGAAGTTGTGGAGTAACTCTTTTAATATGGGGGTGGTACCTGTGGTACTTGGGGCCACTCGTAAGAACTATGAACGCTTCATCCCTTCCGACTCCTTCATTCATGTGGATGACTTTGCTAGTCCAAAAGAACTTGCAGAGTTTTTAATGAGCTTGGACAAAGACAATGCAAAATATGAGAAGTATTTTAAGTGGAGACTAAAGTATGAGGTAGTCAGAGAGACAGGCTGGGATAATATTCACTGCAAAGCATGCAGGGAGCTCCAGCAGTACGAAGGCTACAAAGCTATGCCAAGTGTGGCAACGTGGTTCCTCAAATAAAGTTGTCTTTAGAAATGAATGAACTAAAGCAACTTAAGCCAGGGTTGACTCGGACAATCCTGCTTCACCTGCAAACACTTTGTAAAAAAGATTTATGCATTCCATATCATAAGCTTACCTGTCACTTTACCATTTGGTGTTCTTTAAACGCTTTAAATGCTGCCTAATGGGCATCCCCACCATCCCCCCCTTGTCTGCATTTTTACCACTAACCTTTAAAACAATTATGTAAGTTTCTTGTAAAATAAGAGAGACCCTATAAACAGAGCTGTATGGTCGTCATCATTTTGGTAGAAGACAGAGAGGAGAGTTAGTCAGTTATTAGCTATCTAGCACAAAGTAAAAATGTAGGGAGAGATTGGGGCATGGGATAGGAAGATAAACAGAGTCAGGATGTATGTAATTAATACAATAATTCTAGTCTTTAATGGTTGTTTGAAGATGAGACAATGCTCCACAATCCCAAAAACAGAATTTCCTTCATTAGGATAAAATTGTGAGTTGCTAGTGACCAAAGCTGATATACACTGAGTGGCCAGATTATTATGACCATTTGTAGGCTAATTAGCTATAATTTCGCGCTGAAGTTGCTAGAGGGCCAGACCATTATAAATAGGGAAGCAGGTTGTTTACCACGACAGTAGAAGTGATTTTTTTTCTGAAGATATGGGTAAACAACGCGATTTAACAGCCTTTGAACGTGGGATGATTGTTGGCACTCTGAGCCATGGAGCGAGTATCAGCAAAACAGCAGAATTCGTTAAATGTTCAAGAGCAGCTGTTGTTAAAGTGTTTAAAGACTGGACTGTCAGCCGAAAATCTGGGTCTGAACGTGCGAATTGTGGCCGTCAGCGACTAGTCAATGTTAGGGCAGAACGGAGAGTGGCAAGACTGGTACAAGACAACAGAAGGGCAACAGTGCAGTGTCAGATTCCTCGCATCACCTTTCAACATCTCGTGGAGTCACGAGGCGGCCCAACAAAGTCATCTCGTGGAGTCATCTCGTGGCCCAACGAAGTACTGATGGGGTGGTCATAATAATCTGGCTAATCAGTGTATTTCTCCTATGAAGTCTAATGTGTCTTACTAGCCTTCTGGACCTTGTAATATAGTTGTCACGATCTGGGATCAGGCTCTGAGTCCAGTAGCTGAAACAGCAGGCTAATTTGTGGTATAACAAGCCGGGTTCGGTACACAAGCAGACGGTAGGAGCAGGCATAAGCATAGTCAGCGAACACGCCGAGGTCAGTAGCCAAAAGGTATCAGTTACGAAGCAGCAGACAATGAGAATCGGTGAATCAGCAGCCAAGGGTCGGTACACGGGAAGCAGTATGAGTAGATTGTAGACCAGAGGGAGCAGGAAGCAAGATATTGGCAGGAGCACAATAATCTGGCAAACAGGAAGTGCAGAGGCATGGCTTAAATAGGAAGTTCAAGGGAGGAGCAAGAAGTTCAGAGTTCAGCAGACACAAGCTTTAACTGAGGATACACAAGAGATCAGGCAAGGAGCTATCCAAGGTTTTTAGGTGGCTCAACAAGTAGAACCACTGCCAGCTACAGCAGAGGACCTGGGTTCAGATCCAGTTCCTGACAATAGTTGTGTTTGAGTTATTACTCAGCAGCTTTCCTCATTTCTTGCCCTGCTGATGAAATATCCCCAAAAAGGTCAAGGACAGCAATATAAAAGTGTGATATATTTATTTACTCTTTCCTAGTTTATTAAAAGCTTGGCTGGACTGCCAATGAAAGAAAAAGCTGCTGTCTTCAAGGATTCCAGATTAAAACCACCAAAAATCCCTCCACATGATCCAGCCTTTCCTAGGTTGCACAGTATTTAGGAACAAACAGATGATCCATAGAGGAATATACAGTCATCAAAAGGTTTATTGAAGTAAAGCACGGATACAGCAGGTGACATAGAATGTCATATTTTACACCCAACATTGTTTAATAATAAGGACCATGCACATTAAGCACCATTAGGTGTGAAATTAGTCAAACTGTGATTATCAAAGGGGATATTCTACTATTCTTTATTTCTGCAAAAAACATCTTAGGCACAGTTCACAGTTTTTAAAGGGTAAGTCCGTTTTTAAACAAACTTCTTGCCCCCCTTCCCTGGTCTTACCTAGCTAATCCTCAACCTGTCTAGATGCACACTGCTCGTGAAATTCACTGTGTGTTTACCTGTGCCACAAGTTTATAGTGTCCTGGCAATGCCTGCACAGTAGCTTTTTTGATAGACTTCTGTGTCCTGAAATTCTTCAGCCTTGTGAAATGGCTTCATAGACTTCCATAGGGATATACTGCAGAGGTACTGCCAGTACACTAAAGACAGGATATAGATAAATAGTGAGGCTGCTGTTGTTGAATTAAAGTGACATTAAAGGTCCCTCCCCCCAATGCTGCTGTAAGCATTTACCTTATTTGATGCCTCTTGCTGTGATCATCTTCTTCATGCCACTCGTTTACAACAGTCTCTGATTCAGCGCAGGATCCTTGTGTCCCACTGTGTCTGTCAGACATGCGTACTCCTGGCTGCTCGGCTGCGTCCATTCACTTTAATTCTCTTTTCTCCCCCTACTGTACATGTGCCCACACACTTCCTCCTTCACAGCCGCTCAGGAGCAGGTAGTTCTTCAGACAGTAGCGAGCGGCGCTGGAACAGGTAAATAATTAGGCATTTGCCTACTTTTTTTTTTTTTAACATATGGAGCATAGATCTACTGCTCGCTAGCAGTAGATATATGCCAAAAAAGGAGATACTTTAATTCTACTTTAAGTTAAGTGTGCTCTGGGCAGGGAGAGGATGGGCTAGATTAGGGCAAGGCTAGGTTACAAAATATCAATATAAGACAAAGATTGTGTTAAGCAACAGGTTGATTTATAAACTTAAAAAGAAAATCAACTAATAAAATTGATCCAAAATCATTGCTTCCCTTAATGGCAAGGCCTACCACTATAAAACATTTACTTGCGAGTTATAATCCACCAAGAGAAGCATGTCCAGACCCCAATGACCAAGCCATTTCTAAGGATGCGATTGGGTTTGCCACTATAATGGGTTTGAGGCAACCCTAGTAAGTTTGAGGTTCTCAGACCAATATACTTAATGCAGGAACCATAGCTGTTTAACCATAATACATTGCTTGGCCTTTGAACATAGGTCAGCTGGCTTATTATGGATAAACCAGCCCCTCACCATAAGAGTGAGGTCACAGCAGCCATACTGACAACGTGCCTTAGCTGTGACAGTGAAAGCACAGGAAGTGCTGCTGACAAAGTGCATAGGGAGAGATAAGTGTAGGACTTGTAGGCACTGACAGGTCTGCAGCCTCTTCACAGCCTGCCTCTATGCACTACATTGACAACAGGCTGCATGTGTTTTTTCACAGGATAGATTTCCTAATTGTTGCTGGTTGCAATTTTTTTTTTTTAACATTACTTTTTTTTTTAAGTAGACAGCAATAGAATATGCCTTGGCAATCTGCATCAGCACTAAAGCATGGTCAACAACAAAGTCAAGCAAACATGGCCCGGGAGTGCAATGCACACTAGATCCTGTGGCATTGGAATATTCATAGAAGTTAGAAGATTAAGCAGTAAGATGCACGAATTTGTGCTTTGGTGCATTCTCTTTCTTATTACATGTGAGTACCCTGAAATGTTCTTATGGTTGTAATAAAGAGGTCTTAATTTGCTATGAGCTTCTCCCTGCATCTTTTCTATGGCCCCTGATAAATGTTTGAATACCTGTGGATATCTGCTTGGAAGATTGGTTAACATCTGTGGGATTTATTTGGGCATCTGTGGATCTTTCCCTGGAGGATTGATTTAACATCCTGCACTATTTGACCTTTTCTAGTAATCGAGGCTCAAACTCTGGGGTGAGTGTAATTCCACCTGGGGTGGGGGGTTTATACATGACACAGGGTGAATATTGAGGATTGCAAATGGATACTATTGAATGAGTTTCTGATCACAAGGTGTTGGATTGACACAGTTTATGTAGATTTTGCATCCGATGTGTTATTGATTGCCACAAAAACACGATATTTTGTGCCCACGATTGAGGGAAATGGACTATTTTTCTATTTAATTTGTTTTATTCTTATTGACATTACTGTATATACATATATACAAGTTTTGCACATTGTGAAAATGTATTTGCCACATGATCTTGCACTTTAATATTGCACATTATTTATGTTCACTTGGTAGTTTACTGTAGTGTTAATTTAGCATTCTAGGATATCAATATTTTTTTTCTACAGGTGACCACACTGTCATCATCGGACAAGAGACATGGAGGCTCCACCAGCTCCGGCGTCCCTGCCACTAATTAGATCGGATTCCCACAGAGGATGGGGACGTGCAGGTAAGGAGAGAGCTGTGTGCACAGAGCTGCTGCGCATGTCCATATATTCGTGGACGCACAGCAGCTCTCAAGAATCACTGTCAGTCACAGTGACGAGGATCATTGGGGAGGATCCCGGCAGCATTGTCGGGATCTCTCCTTATTGCGGCGCTTAGCCCCGCCCACCATCTTAAAGAAGGGTTTACAGGCTTAGGGTGCATTTTGGTTAATAGGAGTAAATTACACAATTTACTTATTTAGTCTAAGGAATGCAATAATAAAGAAAAGATAGAACCCCATAGTTCTCCTTTAACAAATATTTATATCTGCTGTCAGTTATTTATTTTAGGTAAATAATATTTTATGGAAAATACCTGAAATGATTGTAAATTCATTATGCCCTTTTTTTTTTTTTAAATATCTGATGAAAGCAAGTGAAATTATTCAAAATAATAGATAAATGTGGAATGTGAGGGAGGGGAGAGTACACAGCTGAACCTGTAATCTTCAGGTCACTCCCATAATTGCATTGTTTGTTTATTAAAGTCATGATTTTATGGACAGATTTGTTCCTTGTCAGTACTCTGTCATGTAGACACACTGCTGTGTCGTCTGTAGACACAGACGACACAGCAGTCAGCGC